CCATTCTTCTCTCTCATGCTAACCCATGTATTTGGGCCCGAGGAATGGGCCTGAGCTTTAGTGCTCCCAAGTAGCCTAAAGCTTTCATCCCTCGTTCCCTCAATGGGCCCTGTGAGTGCCCGTACCCATCCATGCCACAACCTTCTCAGCAAGCCCCGGGTGATTACGTGGCTTGGGCCCACTTGAGCTTGTAGCATGGCGTGATGGCATCGCATGTTTATTCGTTGTGCTTGTGCTTGAGTTTAATTGTGCTATAATAAGCCGAGCTCAAATTAAATAACACCGGATAGATTCATGAGCGTGAACTTATATAGCCGTTGCGTTTTTGGCATGCTTGCTTGGCGTGATGTGTGACCCGTGGCTCGCGTAGGCGTCCTACAATTCCCTATTATGCCCCGGTCGAGTTTCTTTTGTAATTAATTATTTGCACCGGGCTGACAATAAGCTTGGGCCTAACCCCCTGGATTTTTGGGCCTCAACACATTCAAACATAGTATTTCCTCCTCATTTTCCCAGTTTTTCAGGCCTTTTAACATACTTCCACAATATCTACCTCGATTTCAATATTCTCAGTAGGATTAACATGAGTACTTGCATTATTATTCGGATGACTCATGTTCCTAAACATAAAGAAACTTCAACATACAATATTATTAATTTGCAGAAACACAACTTTTTTAAACAAAGGTGTTCTTCACATGAACTACTAAGGAGTAGTTTAGTTAACTTGATGTTATTTTGCAAGTCCTTATGTAATTATATATTGATTATAATATTATTATTTTTGCTTTTGTGGAAAGTGGAAACAAAAGCAAGAGCATTCACGTGAACTAGTGGGAAGTATTTAAACAAAAAGAAAGTGGAAACAAAAAGGATAAGACCATATCAGATTTAGAGAAGTGTGGGAATAGAGAATAGAGAGCATACCCAATAAAAGAAGAAAAACCAGAAGAAGATTCATGCATGTCTCTCCTAGGGCCACCCTAGATTAATTCAATTAAGAACCAAAATATATGAGATATTGATTTGAAGTATATATGGAGAAAGAAGAAGAATTGATGAGATGACACTGGGCTTCTTTATATAGAAGCAGAATATACATAAAAAAGAAGAAATGCTGCTAGAAACTTTTGGTTTCAAAAAAGGTAAGGATGACAAGCTCTGTCATGTTCTTCACAACGACAACCTCCAATGTATTTGATACAGGATACGAGCCTCAACCATCGTATCCATGCACCGTAGACCAAATACAACCAAAAATTAATCAAAAACCAACAATAAAAATGAAGGAAATTGGAGGGAAACAAAAAGAGATAGTTCAAATACATTAATATAACAAGTTCAAATATTTTTCTATTATGAGGGAAAAGCCATAAAAACCAACAACAATTAGAAAGATAAAAATGAATAAAATAGAAAGACATTAAAACCCTAGATATTAAAGAGAAAGGGAAAGAGCGAAATTGAGAAGAAATAAACATATTATTATGTTTACATGAATCTAATGGTTTCCAAAGAGTGCCTAAATTGAAGAAAGTAGGCTTAATTACACCAATGCCCCTTGAAACTTCGGGCAAATCTCACTTTGTCCCCCTTCCCCAAAAATAAAAAACTCAAAATGGTCCACTTTAATCCCTTGACCGAGATTTGGTGACTCACTTTGCCCTCTGCCGTCAACTCTATCCAAAAGTTTGTTAACTTTGATGACGTGGCATGGGTGTTTTCATAATTTCGTACACATGGATCATTATCCACCAATTGCGTGGGTGACATGGCAAGTAGAGCCCACCTTCACATAAATAACAAACAAATAATGCAAAATTATTTATATTTTAAATTAATTAAAATTTATAATAAAATAAAATAGCATTAAGAAAAAAACATCAGCCACCATCTTCAACCTGCACCAGCCCCACCTGTTTGTGCCTAATAAATCACGGCCATGAACTGACCGAAGGAGCCCCTTTTCTCGGCCCTAACACTTGCTCGTGAAGCTAAAACGCGGCGTTTCACCAAGATGTTTGGCCTTCCTAAAAAGCAAAGGAAAAGTTGCGAAGGCATGATCATCTCGGCCTTGATTATAGGCCGAGGCCGAAGCCGAACAAAATCACTGCCAAAGGTACTAAAGTCAGATCATCAAGTGGCAACAGGGTCCCACGCTTCATTTAATGAAGCAATGCCACTGTTTATTGCAGCAAACCCACTGGCCATGAATAAGCATTTAATGCACGAGGGAAGGTGGGAAGTGATTGAAGTCAGGATTTGGTGATAGGAATCAGAGTGATTAGACGCAGACATTCTCACAAGAATTCTTGCAGCTTGAGAGATTAGGTCACTAACTATCAGAAACAATAAATGCGTCTCCACAACCAGAAGCGCAGAACCCACAATCAGGGCGGCGGCCGAGATTCACCGGGATTTATGGGGTCACACCACCATACTTCACGATCCCAAATGTCAATTGGACTACCCACTTGCTCTAATCAGGCTCCACCATGAAGATTTTTAGCCTCGATTACTCCTCCAAGAACTCTTCCTATAAATACAAGGCTCAAGCTACATTCACAGGGTTCAAACACCAAAACAAAAGCCTCCTACGGAGCAAATTATATTTTCCTGTAATGCACTTTCAATATCTTTACTTGCTTTCCTAGGAGTAGTGTTAGT